ATAAGCTTACATTATAATAAATAAAATTATATACACATACACATTCCATTGTTTAGTGGTTATTTTTCTGAAACGGGGTTAAACAGAAGTAGACATTGCGATATTTCTTATTTCAGGAAGAACTGTTGTCATATTTAGGCGGAAGCTGTCAAGTCCTCACTTTCTCATCTCGATAGAGTTCAAAAGCGTCCCCGAGTTCTTGCGAATGATGAATTATTTCCCACTCTTTAATCTCTCTCACACAGGCGGGGACATGGTAAACCTCTCACTGCTCTATTGCTACTACCATGGAAAGTGCTCAGACGAAATACATTCCTTGGTTCCACCAGATCTAACCTTCACGCCTTGGACCCGCTATGCCACTTATATAGTAACAAACCACCTACATTCCCACCGTATTCCATTGGTGAGAAATAAGTTCCACTCAAACAGCTTCTTCCCACGAACCACTGCTCTGTGGAACAGACTCCCAATACGATGTTTCCATGATTACTGTGATCTTAACCTGTTCAAGTCTAGAGTTAACAGTTATCTTCCCCTCCTATCCGTATAGACTACCCCTTATCGTAACCCTTTACCATAGGGTGAAACGTCTGTAAAAAAAAAACAAATTAAAACAATAAAATAACTGTGACGAAAACATCCTACTACGATCCTATGTACGCCGGAGAAGATGAAAATAATATCACATAAAGTCCCGGGGGCAGTCATCCACCCAGGCAGTATCTCTCCTTTAATCCTACATTAATACAAGCCTTGGGTTACATTCTGTTGCGACATGGGCGCGCAGATAAATACCTATGACGCAGACAACTTCGATAAAACCGTCATGGCATCTATTTCTGACATGGCTAAATGAAATGATTTTGAATTCAGAGTTTTCCTCCTTCTAAATTTTATTCCTACCTCGAGGCAAGGGAGTTTCGTCTACCCTGCTATTTAAACCAAAGCCGGAAGAAGATGAATTCATTCCTTTACCAAGTGCGAAGTGAACAAAAAAGAATATTGATGGAGTTTCTTCCTTCTTTTTAAAGTTCTTTTCATTATTTCAGGCATTCTTGGGAACAATATCTTCAGTTTTAGGTTTGTTTGTTTTTGGTTTTTGTTTTTGTTTTTTTTCGTTATGTCGTTTCACGAGACGACAATAACATAATGATTATCAGCACCAAAGGTGAACTCGGTGTATTTGAGTTCAGTCCCCAGTCGATTCTGTTTCATTCGACTCAAAACCTACTATATCTGCAGTCATCTACAATGATTCGTGGCGGGACATATCGTCTCAACTGCCTGGCTCTCTACCTTCCTTATGATACTATCTTATTTTCTTATGTGCCGTATCCCCCCCCTCAGAGCATGGGTGATCATGGTTCACTACAACTTCGTATCATTTGTACTTCTGGGTAACTTTTATCTCCTTAAACATCCCCGTCCAGTCCCTGCTCTGTCATTCAATTTCCATAAACTTGTTAGGTAGGTTATTCGCTGTTTCTTTCTGCCCTTCTTGCTTTCAATATACCCTGTGAATGTTAAATTCACGTAACCCTCTTTCCTCATTTTGTGTCTCAGAAATTTCAACTGTCTCTTTCTAATTCTTAATATATTTCCGTTGCAATTTGCCTTAAAGCTTCTTCGTTACTCACGTTTTCTGTCCACGGTATTCTTGTTATCCTTCTGTAGAACCACACCCCTCTCGTTTCAAGTCTCCATAACACTATACTGTAAAAGAATTTGTGACCAACAGAACATTCGCTCTTGCTACAGTGCTGAGAAAAAGCAGCATTTTTAAAATTTCTTCCTTATTTAATCTAAAACTTTCACTATTTTTTAAATAAAACTTATAGATTTCTGCCTGTATTTCTGAAATGAGGTATTGTAACTATTTACATTGTATTGTTCGGGTTGTGAGTTCAATACCTGGCCACAGCAGAGGTGAACAAAAACTTGGAGTGTTGAGTTACTAAAGGGAAATAAATGAAACTGGAATATCCAGAAAAGACATGGCGCGTGGAAAAGGAACAACCTATCCCAGTGAACTAAATAAAGCGTTCGGTTCGAAATTCAAACGTATATCATCTGAAGAAGGCCGGGGCGTATAGCGTCCGAAACGTCGTGAATATGACAATAAAGATGAGAACAACAGTCTGAACAATGTAAATAATTAAACTTATGAATTGTTTCTTTCTGAGTTTGATCGTGGGTAAAGGAAACCACTAAGAGAGGCCCATTGCATTTACTATATTTAGCTTAGTCTGGTACAAGGTCACTATTTTAGGGTGCCTAATGATAATCGAACTCACTATACTAGAGGTTTTATCCCCAAAAAGAGCTTACTAAACATCTCGCTAAGAAATGTTTTTTGTTTTAAATACGGAAGCTCTTAAGAATTATTATAGTTTGTGTTTTCTTGAACGCTCAATTTTGAATGAGGCTCAGTTCCACACTTTGTGCATTTCTACATGCCTTTCTTGAAAAACCTTTCCTCCACTTTACGCTTTTCCTAATATGATTTGTTGTCTATTACTTTGACTTAAATCCAGAAATTAGTAGGCGTGACTTTATTCAGTTATTCTTTTCAATAATTATATTATTCTATGACTTCGTAGATCGTCAAATTACAAGTCTGAGTCGTCTATAACATCTCAGCAGGAAGTAATTTCTTACCTGACCTGTAGGTAGATTCCTATCTTTCCTAGTTGGATTTTACTTAGCTAACCTCCCCAGTAAGACAAGATCTGATACAAGGTTATATGGACCAGGGGAAAAAATTACCCATTCCCCGCAACCACTGTCACGCTAGCGTCCATATTAACCGACCCCACCTCTCTTAGTGTCATGAGAAAGGTGCTGCTCCAGGGTTAGAATCCCAGAGACGAGGCTCCTTCTCATCTAAAATGAGAGAAGATACCACGCTTTCAATGCCCGAGGTTTTGATTTTGGATAGCTAATTTAATTTTTCACATTGTTAATTATTAAAACAAATCCACCGCTCCAGTTATTTCTTCATCAAAGTTTGAAACTAATTTCTCCCTCCTGTATTTTTCACGAGAGGAGGAGGTGTTATGATACAGGCCTCCCTCGATCATACTAATGTTATAGAACTCTATCGCCTCCTGGTGACTGAAACCTCACATTTTGCTCTAAAATTCAGATATTTTTTTTATTTCTAAGCTTTCAAAAGAAAAGGTCAGAATTTAACTTTTTTTTAAACCTCTCCCAGCATCTTAATTTTACTCGACCCTCAATCGCAAATAAGTACTCCGCCCAATACTGAACAATTTACGGTGAGCAAATAAATAACGAATTTCTGTGCCAACCGCAACGGTGCTTTTGGTGAATAGTGTTGTGACATGCTCCAAGCGGTTCCAGACTGTTTTTTAACATCCCTTCTAAATGTTCCAATTGAAGATAAGTTTCAACATCCCGCGCTACCACCCCCGGCACCTGGCATAGATCAGACTTGGATTCCCAGTTGCTACCCGGGGAGATTGGTGTGTTGGCTTACCCAGCCAGACGTCGATAGAGTTGTCTTGAGAATTCTGCTTCTCTGAGTGACCTTTTCTCTCGTCGGCGATGTGACATCTCTCCAGATGATGAAGTAGAGGAACATTCTTGATATATATATATATATATATATATATATATATATATATATATATATATATATCATGTGTTTTCTCCTTTTTCTTTTTTATTACTCAATTCAGTCTTTCTTTCTGTCATCCGACGTTTCCATTGCTTTTGTTCAGTTTTTTTTTCGCCTCTTTCTTTCTTACGTTTTTGCTTACAATTCAAGTAATTTCTCTTTCATTTCTCTTTCTTCTTCTCTTTCTTCTTTCTTTTCATTCTTTTGTGTATATTTCCTTTTCTTGTGAATATTTCATAGATTCTGATTTTCTTATACTTTGTAGTTGCATTCATGCATTTTTCATTCTTTCCTTATTTTCCTTTTTCCATCGCCTTCTATGTTCATTTTAAAATTTTCTTTCATTCTTTCATTGTTTTTTCGTCTTTTTTTACCTCTCCTTTCATTTCTTCCTTCCTTCTCTTTTTTACTTTTTTGTCTTGTTTTCTTTTTTTCTTTCATTTTTTCCGTCTTCTCTTGTTTCTTTCTTCTTTTTTTCCCCATTCGGGTTTCCTTTCCTTTTTCATTTTTTCTTTTCTTTCCTTTTTGGTATCTCTCTTTCCTTCTTCCCCAATTCTTTTGATTCTTTCCATTTTTTTCTTTCTCTCTTTTTTACTTTCTTTCTTTTACTATTTCTTTCGCCTTTTCCTTTTCCTTCTTTTGTTTCTTTCGTCCTTTCTATTATTCTTCTATTTTCTCTCTCCATTCTTCCTTCTATTCGTTTATTCTTTCTTTTTGTCTATTTTTTCTGCTTCTTTCATCTTTACTTTTTCTTTTTTCGTTATACTTTTCTTTTTTCTTTCGCTTCCTTCATTTTATTTCTTTCTCTTTTACATCATTCGTCCTTTCCTTTTTTTACTTACTTTTCTTCCTTTCTATCCTTCTATGTTTTCTTTATTTCTTTTCTTCCCCCTTCTACTTTTCTAAGGATCACTTTTTCTTTCTTTTTCACTTTTCCTCTATTTCTTTCTTGCTTTCTTTCTTCGCTTTCTTTTAATAATTTTCTTCGTTTCTCTTTCTTCCTCTGCACCCTTCATTCGATCTCTTTCTTCCCTTTTACTTCTGTTTTTTTTTTTTTGCTTTAATCTCTTTCTTTCTTATTCTCTTTATCTTTTCCCCCTTTATTCTTTCTCTCTCTTTCTTTTTTCTTCTCTCCCAATATCGTCATTTTCCTTGTTTCCTTTCTCTCCATTTTTCTTTCAAAATAAGTTTTTGTCTGTTTTTTCTTTCTGTTTCCGACATTTTGTTTTGTACTTTTCTATGGCGTTTTCAATCATTCTTTTCATTCTTCTCTCTTTCTCTGTTACTGACATCGATTCTCTCGTCTTCATTTGTCTGAATTTATTAGATTAAAACATTTGAATGAATTGTTGACTAGATGTTCTTTCATCTTATTGTTGCTTGTCTGGAGTTCGTAGCAGAATGAGACCAGAAACAAAGCGGCTATGTTCAAGTCACTTGAACAAGAAATGCTATCTTCACGATCAGTAAGCTATCAGAGCGATAACTCTATTTCGTAGATTACGCAAAAGCATGCATACGACGCATAAACCTACTTGAACTGCGCATTATATATGGAAAAGATATTACAATGATCCGTAATATTTACTGGGAACAAGCCCTCTGCATGTAGACAGGGAACGAGTTAAGCAAGTATGCAAAAACAGAAACAGTTTGACAAGGATATACTTTCTTATTGGTTTAACCTATATAGCAAGTGGATCCTAAGAGAAATAGAAAACCTACTAGTATTTCCGCTAGACATGAGAAATCGGAGAGCCGTGTTCGAATTCCAGTCTGACTACTTACATTCACTTACCTGCAAATATCATTGGGAAAGGTACAAATCCATCTATTCACCTCCCAGTTGTGAGATGAATAGCAAGACAAGCAGGGTCCTATAGCCTTGGATGGCAACCAGACTACTGCAGAAAAAAACAACAACCTACTGCGAAAAAATCTCCTGCCGAGCCAGTCATGTATCGAAGGAGACCTGATCGGCCAAGCCATGTATCATGGATGTCACTTAACTGACTGACCAACACTGAGTACTGTCTTACTAGCAGCGATAAGCGTAATAACCTCTTAAATGTTTTCAGTTTCTTAAATAAAATATTGTCATTATTATTAATTTTTAACTAGTTTTACTTTCCACTTTTTTAAACTCGTTTTGTTTTTTTATCACAACCGATAGGTTATGTGTTGTACATAACCTATTGATTAAGTAACATTTAAAGAATTAACCTCCGACGAGATCTTGTAATCTTGGAAACACGTCTTGCATGGTCGTCGCCTTAACAATTAAGCCACGAAAGCCTTAAAATTCAAATTTACTTAGGTCGTTTTTATATTCTACAAGAGTTAAGTAACAAATAAAGATTCTCTCCATGTCCAATCGACTCTTAAGGAAACAGAATGTAAATACAATCACTATTAGTGGTTATTTCTAGATTTTTTTTTATAGTCTTAGAATATAAAATGACAAAAAATTATAAACAAAAAAATGAAAAACAAACTAATCAAAAATTAATAATTCTTAATTTATATTTACGATTTTCTTTGAAATTTTTAATCTTTCTTTCATCTTAATATCTCTTTTTTCTTTTTATCGCTTCATTTGTTTTGTTATACATTTTCTTTTTCTTTTTTTATTCATTTCGTATTCATTCCTTTTTAGCTTCGTTCTTTTGTCAATTTTTTCCTTCATTTCACTAAGACTTTTTTATTTTTTTCTTTCATTTTCCTTTAATTCTGCCATTCTTTATATTTCTCATTCTATCATTAATTTCTTCATTTTTATTATTTGTTTATTTTCTTTTATTATTCTTTTTCATTCTTCATTCCATCCTTCTTTACTTTTTTTCCTTCACATTTTCTTTCTTTATTCTTCCATTTTTCTTTTTCTATGTTTATTTACGATTTCTTTCATTCTTCTTTGTTCGTTCTTTCTTTTTTCTTTCAGTTCATTCAATTTTTTTATTCTTTGGTTTTTCTTCTTTCTTCGTTTTATTTATTCAATTCTTTTTTTTATTATTATTCATTTTTTTCCTCGTTTGCTTTATTTTTTCCTGTATTCTTTATTCAATATTTTACTTTTTTTTTTTTGTCTTTTTGCGATTTTACATTTTCTTTCTTTTGTCTTCATTCTTTCTTGGTTTTTCAGTCTTCGATCATTTATTTTACTTCATTTTTATTTCTTTTTCATTTATCTTTTTATATCTTTCTTTTTATTCATATTTTCATTTTTATTTTATTTTTCATTCATCTACATTTATTTTTCCGTTTCCTTTCTTTCATTTATTCGATTTTCCTTTACATCTTTATTTTTCTCACTAAATTGTGCCTTCCATTTTTTTCTTTCATTTCTTTCTACTTTTTTTCTTTCATTCTTACGCGCTTGTTTTATTCTTTCTTTATTCTTTTCTCAATATTTTTTATTTTCATCCTCATTTTTGTTTCTTTCTTTACTTTCCAGGACTTTTTTTTTTTATAACTTTCTTAAAAAAAATCCTTTTTCTTGAATTCATTCTTTAGTCACTCGTATTCAATACGTTCTTTGACTTGTATTCTTTCATTTTTGTTTTACTGCGTATAATTACATTTTTTTTCTTTTTTAATTGTTCTTCTACTTCATTCATTTTTTCTTCTTTTTCTTTCTTTCATTTCCTACTCTTCTACCAGATTACATCTCGCTGAAGATAAATAAACAGACTGGTCAAAAGGAGGAACAGTTGCAAGCCATTAAATTTTTAAAAGCCTGTTCGTCATAAAAAGAAGGAAAAATAATACCGTCACCTTCTGGGTCTCCATTTTTCTTTTCTCTAAAACTTTGGGGTTGACATAAAAATGTGTGAAGAACCCAAACGATTGGTAATTTAAAGATATCTTTCTATATCTATTTGTTTTGTTTAGTCTCCATAACTCCTTTCCCGTGTTTTTGACGAGGACTTTTCTCTCTCTCTCTCTCTCTCTCTCTCTCTCTCTCTCTCTCTCTTCCCCCATCTCTCCATTCTCTCTCTCTCTCTCTCTCTCTCTCTCTCTCTCTCTCTCTCTCTCTCTCTCGTGAAAGGAGCACTTGTCTGGACGAGAAGGAAAGGACAGAAATCGAGTAAAAAAAAGCTGTGGATGACATAGAGCCAAAATGTACGAGTGTTTCTGAGAATCACAGTAAAATAAGCAAACTTGGTTTGCCAGTTCTGGGTGGTCGTCGTCATCTGTTAGAACAAAAGCACACCTGGGTAAATAAGGAAAAATAGTTGTAGAGCGGGGGATACTATTCTAACAAACAAACAAAAACCGACCCTCATTCTAACTTAGAGAGACGTCAAGTTTTGCAAATTTGACAAACGAAAGAAAATTTAAAAGAGAAAATATATAATTTAAAATGGTCTTTTTAAATGTTAAAATAAAGATGGATATAAGCAACTACATTTGGTCGAAATGGACGTTAGATTTAACGTGTGTATACATACACACGCATATATATATATATATATATATATATATGACTATTTATGAAAATAAAATTTGTGACTTATTGATGATTGATGTTATATATATATATATATATATATATATATATATATATATAAAGTAAGTTATAGTCTAACGAAAGTTCTTTGTTAAGGACTTTTTTCCTATATTTCGGACCGTTTTCATTATTTTCTGGTAGATATTTAAATATAAATTCTCCAATATTTTAGTACTTTAGGTTTTCATAAGGTATTATCAAGGAGTTTTATTGCTGCCCGTTTCATCATTTCCAAATATCGCGTCGTCGCGTCGTCGCGTCGTCGCGTCTTCACGTCACAATTCGTATTAACGTGTTGTTCTTTTTATTTCTATATTTATAAAAAATATTAAGTATAAACATCCGTAACCGAAACACAATTTTTTGTATGCTGCTGCACTTTCTTTGTTTATATATTGAAGAGGCACCTTCACCTAAAAATGCACACAAAACCCACAACCTTGTTAACATCCACACGTCTTATCAAACGTTCGAAATCAAAGAATGAATATTAAATCTAAACTTAAAATCTCTGAATTTAATGAAATTTTATTGATGTCGGCTTCTTTGTTTATATGGCTACATTTCTAACATTTTTTTTATCGTTTTGTCTATATGATATCGTTTGCTGCTGTTATTTTTCAGGGGTTTTAGATATCTAGTTATGCTTTGTTGAATTGGTTGGTGATATGGGATTTAGTTAAACTATTATCAGGAATATTTCACGTTAGTTGGAGAAATAATGTAGCAAAAATACTTGACGAACTTAATAGATATCATAAATAGATTAAAAAGAACGATACAATAACACGAACTATCAAGTGAAGACGCAATGGTGGGCTTGATTCCATATATATATACACATATATATATATATATATATATATATATGTGTGTGTGTGTGTGTGTGTGTATGTGTGTGTGTGTGTGTGTGTGTGTGTATGTGTGTGTGTATGTGTGTCTGTGTGCCGACGCTCTTGTGTGTGTGTGTGTGTGTGTGTGTGTGTGTGCTCACGTGTGTGTGTGGGTGTAAACTTTGTATAGTCTTTGTCTCTATCTAGGGAGCTAGCTAACAAGTTATGCACACTCATAACTGTTTATTCTCCGTGTTCAATCTGCCCAAATATTCATTGTAAACTGATTACTATAATTCTTGTCCGTGATGCAATAGGTACGAGCATGTCGTCCTTATCATCATGAAACGACTGGATGATATCTACGAAAGGGCGAAGACAAACTAAGTATCGCAAGATCTTCCACATAAATTATCTGTTTATGTCGAAGACCTTAGTAAGATTTACAATGACCTGAAACAGGCTTACTTGCTATTCATACTTCTCTTGAATTGTGTCGCGCTGTGAAAATCATATCCATCGTTCCTTTATTAGGCCAGAAGGCACACTGTGGCTTGGACAGTAACGTATCCACAATGAGACATCAAATCCCCTTTAGGATTTTACCCGCTATCGAACGTAAAACTAGAAGCTATTCCGCAATAATGCTCACACAGCCCCTTTGCACAATGGTATTGCATCTCTCCCATCTTTTGTAACCCTCCCGGCATTTTGGATATTAGAATGCCTGCTTCATGAGAGTGAATAGCTATTTACTATTCTTTCTGTGTGCAACAACTTGCATTTCTACGGTTAAGTCAGACCATCTCACTAAGTGGCTGTCTCCCATCTCACGAAGTCTACGCTGAACGCTACGGTTCGCTTCTTTGAATTGCATTTCTAGCTGGGTGCTCGTAGGCAGTCACTTTGGAGCATGCCTTCTCATATCTTTTTCTTATTTGAGAGAATATCTTTAATGACTTGGTCGTTTTTTGTTTTTTTTTATCAAAACAGTCTCGACTTTTAACTGACGTCCTTTTGCCGCATTGCCGGTCTCATAGCGAATTTCCAAGCTGCTGAAACTTAAGTTTCAACTTGAGCTTAAAAAGTTTGTCGAGTGTTTTGGGCATGGTGTTTTGCAATATCCAAACGCTTTGGTAACTTCACAGCAGTGCGATTTCGACCAGCTGACTTAATGAACATATGCAATTTGGCATGTGCAAGTCTGTGGTCACTCCAACAATCAGTAGATCTTACAATGAAGTCATCCTGATATCGCATTTGCGGACTATAACTTAGTCCAGTGGGTGCTATTGATGGAACTTTGGATCCATTCAGGCTTTTATATGGACACCTTTGTGTTGGAATTGGTTACTTGCAATGTGAAGCTGAATCTTTGTGCACAGCTCAAGAAACATTCATTTTGTTTCCGGTTCCGGTCCCGTACCTCCTTAGACAACTCCAAATCTCGCTGTTACTTTCAGCCGAAACATTAAAATTCCCTACCAAGATCATTTTATCACCCTGTGGAGCAGATTGAAGGATATCTTGCAACAAGGTGGGTCTCACACAGAACGGTAATATCAACGAAATAGCGGCTTTTGTTCTCTAGCAATTAAGGGGCTTCTTTGAGCTGAAGATGGCCTACCTGAGCTGTCTATGACCATTCGTATATTTCAGCAAGAGATTTTAAGTTTAGATTTAATATTCATTCTTTGATTTCGAACGTTTGATAAGACATGTGGATGTTAACAAGGTTGTGGGTTTTGTGTGAATTTTTAGGTGAAGGTGCCTCTTCAATATATAAACAAAGAAAGTGCAGAAGCATACAAAAAATTGTGTTTCGGTTACGGATGTTTATTCCTTTTATGTTTTCTGTATTGAGATAAAGTGAAAAGGTCTCTTGAGTATGTATGTTTTCTATTTCGTTCTGAAAATCATTCATAGGGTTTAAGGATACAAAAGGGTTGAAGCCGGACGAAATCAAGTCAGCTTCGCGCTTATTTAGGGAAATCCGAACTTCTACTTCATGAGTAGGGGCTACTAAAACATGTCCGACGATGTCGTTAGTAAGTGTAAATGGTTCAGTCACCAGTGGACCGCGTAAACTAACATCCCCCAGGGAGAACGCTATTACTGCGTGATTCACATCTTGAAGCCAAGAAGAGAACGAGAAAGATTTTGTTTTTTCCGTAAGTGAGGTCATAAAATCGCATATGTGACCAGAAACCTTCTCCGATTTCTTTATAACTTGCATCATGGGAAAATTGATTAATGTTTTTTATTCGTTATTATTATTTTATTTATTGGTTTGAATTCATTTTCCCCACCGACAACTGCCGGCCACGCTAATCTAGCTAGACTTAATCAATGAGACAGGCAATGTTTCGATCATATTTTCTAAACCCCCCTCCAGATATGTGGTTAGTAGAGCTATCCTTAAACAGGGCTGCTCAATCACCTTTGGAGCAACCGATTGCTATCTCTGCCTCCATAGCTAGGAAAACGACTTTGTATTTGCTAAAGGCCGCCTGTGTCTAGGTCAGCAGCTATATACTCTCAGCCGGTCATACCAGTATGCGTTGCTACATCACCCTCGCTACTGAACTTTAGAAACCAGAGCAACAATATATGCTAAGATATAGGCGATACCCGCGCTGATAATTATAGTTGTGCACGGCAAATACTCATATAAACTTGATCATCGCTGTTCGGACCCTGAATTACCATCAGTCTGGATAAAGGGATGTTCCCTCAGGGAGGCCCCGTGCCGTGCGCGACAATTGGGCTTTAAACTCAACACAGACCTCAAGTGGAACTCGCACATACGAGCCATAGCTAAAAATTCAGGTTCTCTGTAACGCTCCAGTAAGTACCTGACTCTTTGGCGAAGTTTACAAGAGCCATATCAGGCCTAAAATGGAGCACCGCTGTCATATTTGGGTAAGAGCTGCCCGGTCCTCACTTTCCAGTCCTTGTGAGAGACAAATTATGATCTACCATGCAACTTCTGTCTCACAGACAAAATGTCACAAGCCTCTCGCTACTCTATCGCTACTTCCATGGAAAGTTCACAGACGAACTACATTCCTTAGTTCCACCAGTTCTAACCTTCATGGCTAGGACCCCCGCTGCCTACGTGCAGTGTAGCGAACCATCCTTATTCTCTCCGTATTCCATTGGTGAGAAGTTCCACTGGAGCAGCTTCTTCCCGCTAACCACTGTTCTGTGGAACCGACTCCCAAGACGATGTTTTTACGGTCACTACAAACTTAATCTGTTCAAGTTTAGGGTTAAAAGTTTTCTTTCCGCATAAACTGTGTCTCTCCCCCATGTAACCCTCTACCTCGAGTGGCTCCCGGAGCCTCACTAAAAAAAAAAAAGGTAAGCTGATGGACGATATCCGGGTTAGCACTGAGGCGAGTATTGTTATCAGAATTTTCCGTCTCTTAGACAGATACCATATCAAAAGCTTGAGGACCATCCCTCCCAGTACACTAAGAGCCAGCCAGGACACCAACCCAAGTATTTCTACATACAGACATACAAAGAAAGAAAGAAAGAAAGAAAGAAAGAAAGAATATTTTTTATCATTTCACCCCAAGCAATTCAGTAAAGCCACTAAGACACAGGGGCTTACTGGGTGTGTGTTGAAACTTGACTAATGCATGGAATAATAATGCAACACAAAATGTACTTAGAACAAAATGTATTGAAACAAGA